AAGTATGTACACATAGATGTTACCAGGACAACAAACGATATTTCAGGGTTACAGTGCTTTTATATCTCTTGGTGGGATGAAGAGGAAGAATACATGAAGCAGATTGGGCTGTTAAAATGGAAAAGAGGTGGTCAGTGAAAAGCAGTTGAGCAGAGTGTGAAAATCCTTGGACCATAGTACACTAACTATGAGTTACTTAATTGGATAAATCATTTCATCTTTCTGGCACTTGGTGCTCTCCTGAATCAAGTGGTTATCCTAGAACATCTCTAAGTGCCAGCAGGTTACAGGTCTTGACTCCAAGATGGAAGAATACATCTTTTTGGAGAGATGGGTCAGAAATCATACTTCAGGTAGCTTCTGGAAAAGCTAAAGATGTGAACAGCCACTATGTGAAACACCTCTCCTATGCCATGTAGAGTGTAAAAGTTTTAAATTTCATCTAATCTCTACAATAATTCAGTGAGGCTATTATTACCAATCTGTTTACATTTTTTGAAACCAAAGCTGTGAGTAGGCAGGTAACAGGAGCAAGGTCACTGTCCAATCAGGATCCTACTCTAAGACTGTCTGATTTTAAAACGTCTGCTCTTAATGGTCAAGTCACACTGTAGAAGAGAGGGACGAGAGGGTCTCAGTACCCCAGGTTGGAAGGATGTTGACTGAGGATTTTGGATAAATAGCTTGCAGTTGCTGTCTTTGTTCCCATTTCTCATACACCGTAGTTCCATTTTATTATGCATCCTCAATCTCAAAACATTGTAAAGAATTTTAGGGGAAGGAAAAAAATCTCCAAAGTAGTAAATAAGCCACAAATCAAATTAGTTAACATCACAAAATTGGTGATAAGGTGAGAAATTAAACTGAAAATACATATTTTTCTCTAAGTCATTTTTTTAGCTGACATCCTTGATTCTAAAATATGAGCCTAATAAAGACATTGATTACTAAAACACTATAGAGCTTAACATAGATTTTATATGGGTATATAGATTTGCTTATAATTAGGATGGCAACACAGTTTACTATACAAACTGATATTTTTAAAATAGGGTTGCAATTACACCAAAAATAAGCATAAATGTGGGTTTTGCTAGGAAAATTGGCATGCCTACTTATGATATTACAGTATTTATGATTTTTACTTTTAAGCAACATATCACTCTTATGATGCAATACTCAGTAAGAATTTGCCATTAGTTTACACATAAAATGAATGGAATTATGAGTATAAAGTTGAACATGCTGTACTTCACACTGTAGTTTACTAGTACCTTTCATCAGCTTTGAAGTACTGATTCTGGAGTTCCCGCTGTGATCTTTGTTCTCTCGATCTAGAGTTATGGTCTTTTGGTCCAGAATGACCGGGTAAAAATTCTTTGTAATAGAAATCTTCCAAATCTAATAATTTTCCCTGACTGTAAATGAACAGATAAATGTACCATATAATCAGTCTAATTTGCTGCTTACACTGACAGGATACTTGTTCTCTTCTTTTGAAGTATTTACTATGACTTAAGGGTTAACACATACTTATCAATAAAAATGAGAGAAGTCTTGAAGTGTGTGAAAACAATATATACTGAAATCCAGAAGAAAAACAAACACCTTCTTACCTTGAATACAGCATTAGCTGCAGGAGCAGTTTTTTCTGCTCCAATGGAGTCAAACTTGACACAAAGAAACAGCTAGTGCTACCACTGTTCCAGTTTGGTCAGACTCCACAGGCATTACAAATGGCGCCTGCGCCAATCAGAGAAGTTGGCCTTTATGCATGACCAAAAACATATTCACATTTATTATCTATCAGTACCTTGACACACACAAGGTTTCATGGCCTTAATTTTCCTCCTTCACAAGTAACCTTCTGACCTCTACCTTGTGTGAGAGTCCTGTGCATGATAGGTACACAGAGATATGTCCTGAACCATTTTAAACCTTGGACTTAGGGCAAATGGTTCTTCCTGTGTTCTTAGCACCTATAATTTGATGTGACTTCTTTGGAGGTAAACAGGTTTGGAAATTTACCAGGGAACCTGTTTTTGAAAGTCACGGATAACAGTCTACAAATGAATTTCCAGAATGCCAGATTCATGAATAGGTGTTATTCTTCTGTTGTTAACACTGCGTCAAAATTAGTTGACATGGCCACTGATTAAAATAGTGACGTAACATTCCAACAGTAAAGTACCCCCTGGACTGAAATACAGAAAAAGAGAATCACTGGAAGTTAAATGTGCCATACCTGCTGGGCACATGAACCTTGCCATCCTAACAAACTGATAAAAATTGTAAAACATGAGACTTAGGAAGTATGTAGACATAGGCATGTTTAAACTCCTCAATTTAAATCATTCAGTGTGCTGAAAAAAGCAAATTCTATATTGGGACAGTATAATTCATTCAAAACGTATGTTAGTGCTCAGTGAATATTTCATACAGTGCTGGCTCAATATATTTACAACAGACCAGATCTTACACACATTTGCTATATAACTGTGTAGAGAGCACATTTCTTTCCAAATGTTTCCACATAAGATATAATTTAGAATTTAAACATATGGGTTTATATTTTTGTGTGAACAAAATGAATCACTGAAATCTAGAAATAATAATTACCTGTCTTTTCTTGGTCTTCGTTTTTCTTCCTGGATTGACTTCTAAAGGGAATAGAAGAATTTAAAAAGATCTAGTACATGGTAATATGTAATGATAATTTAATTATGATTTTAAGAAAAGATAAGAGGGAGCAATCAGGATAACAGATGACCAACCTGTAAATGTGTTAATTTGATAATTCACAAAAGACTATGTAGTATGTGATTCTATACAATGACCCAAAGAGGCAGAAAGTGATCACCTAGGATTTGGGGTTGTAGGGGGTACTGGGGGGTGGCTGCCAATGGGCAGAAATTTTTTGGAGTGATAAAAATGTTGTAAAATTGATTGTGGTGATTGTTGTAGTAAGTGACATCTAGTTGTATATTTTAAGTGGTGCCTTTTATGGCACGTGACTCACATCTCAACAATGCTATATGCATCCACCCATGTATAGACATGTCTATCCACGTAGAACATGTACATGGATATAGAAAATGTAAAAACATAGGCAGTTAGAGACAAAGATTCAGAAATCAGCAGTAATTGAGGTCAGAATAGCTGATGAAAATGTCCAAAGAAAATGAAGACAGGAGACTCTGAGAGAGAGAGAGAGAGAGAGAGAGAGAGAGAGAGAGAGAGAGAGAGAGAGAACAGAGAGACAGAGAGAGGGAGAGAAAGAGACAGAGGAGAGAGACAGGAAGAAAGAGAGACAGAGATAGAGACAGAGACAGAGAGAAAGACAGAGATAGAGATAGACAGAGAGAGGCACAGAGAGAAACAAACAGAGGCAACAGACAGGGAGAAAGAGAGAGAGAGAGAGAAGAGGGAAAGACAGAGAGAGAGACACAGAGAGACAGAGGCAAGAGACAGGGAGAAAGAGAGAGAGACAACTTTATTGTTGGTGTGGGAGGGCTGCTGGAGACTGCAAGAACCTGCAAAAAAGGGGGAATTGGGAATGGTTTTTCAGAGTTGGGCTGGGGGTGAAGACTTAGGTGGTTGTGAAGTCTTAAGATTGGAGAGGTCTTGGTGCATGCATGAAAAGGGAACAGGAGGTTTATTTCTGGAACTACAGGAATGCACAAGTTACTTCTGGAGAGATGTGCTGCAGTTTTTTGGGGTCTGGTGCTAAGTTGGGCTGATGCCATATTAGAGTTAGCTATGCCCCAGGCTAGCAGAACCCATCGACATACAAGCTTTGTTTTCTGCCATCAAGGGAAAAACTTGTTTGTAATACATTGTGGGTTCCAGTATATTCTTCTCCAGGTTCCCCATAGGTATAGAAGTTCTGCTGGCAATGTGATAATGGAGAGCAGGAGACTGATTGAGTGCTACAAATGGAGGGGCCATTGGGTGCAAAGGACCAGGGTTCAGGAGAAGGTGCTGCTCACTGGCAAGGTTTTGAGCAGTTAACTGTGGTGAGTTGAAATAGAGGGGCAAGAGAGGAGGCGGAAAATCAGTCCCAAGTCCAACACTCAGAGTCTTAGTAGGAATATGGAATTAGTTTCTCAGCCATTCATTGGACTATCAATAGCAAGGAAGAAACATACTGAAATTTACCATTTGGAGACATTTCTTGACGCAGCCTGAGGAGGATGGGATTAGAAACAGCTAGGTGGGGCAAGAGATAGTCCAAATGAGAAACAATGATGGTATGAAACAGGGTATTTGCTGAGAGAATGACTGAAGTGAGTGAGTGCAGGTAGAAGCTCCAGCTCAGAGCAAATGATCTAGGTGCTCAGTTTTGGAAACTTAGCGGGTGACAGTGGCATTCATGGACAACAGGGATATGAGAAGCAGGGCGGCCTAGCAGGGTGATCTTGATGAGTTCTCATGCTGCACACCGAGTGCAGCCAAGAGACCTTAATAACATGATGTCCTTGAAACAATGGCTAAGACACGCTTATCTGTGTCTCAGATCCTTGATCTGCACAACATGGCCACAACACTATGGGCTGGCTCTAGAATTGGCCTGTTCCTTATGAACACGCTTCCTTCTAGGTATGGGATTTACCTGATGTTTAGCACATACTCACTTTTCTCTTTTGCTTCTTTTGTCTGTCATTATGACCATTTACTTTAAAGTTCCTGTCTGGAAAGACCCCTCTTTGGAGAGCTCTCACCATGACAGATTTCCTTTTTGAGACTGGTATTTGCCTATAAGTTCAGGTTACTGATAGCAGAGAAAGCTTCTGGGAGGACATCGTGGGGACGTGACTGTGGGACAAGCCCAGAGTGTGGGGAAGAAGCTCTGGGCAAGCACAGTGCCCACATGGCCTACTGAGGAGGAGAGAACCCCAAAAGTGTCTCTGTTGCTGGCTGGCCTTGCAGCACCATCTCCAAACTGGGCTTTGGAGGCTCCAGTGGCTCCCATCTGATGATAAGAGCAAGCCACTTACATGGAGTAGGTAATAGTACGTGGAGTCCTCCGGGTTATTTAATGTTTTGGGCTTCCGGGGTCTTCTTGGGGGTCTCAGAAATTTCGACTCTTCTCCTTTAGAGATACCTGTAAGAAGATAATCATAGACAAGTGTTTAATTACCAAGACTATTATCATGTAAGTTTCCTTTCAAGGTAAATAAGAAACTGTGGACACACAACTGACACTAATGATGGAAGAAAGAGGAAACACCTGTATCCCCAATCCAACCCTTACCGTATTCCTTACCACACAGCTTCCTCCAGCTGTCTGGTGGTTAGGGCTTTTGGAGTGAAGAGGGAGAAAAGGGAAGGAGAGTTTGGTGATGTAGAATAGGGTACAGCACAGGTACAGGATGAATGAAGAGTCAAATTTGGCAGAATTTCAAAAGGCTTGAACATTAACAGAATCTCTGCTGTCCCTTCTCTCTGCCTCCCACCAGATGCAGGCAGCTAGTGGCCCATGCATCCAATCAGTGAGGGATTTCATCTTCCAGTACTATCATGCATCCAATCAGTGAGGGGATTTCATCTCCCAGTACTATCTTGCATCCAATCAGTGAGGGGATTTCATCTTCCAGTACTATCTTGCACATTATGGCCTGAACTGAGAGGCTGCTACACACTTGCAGGGCTGACACTTATGTAAGAGACCTAAATTATTCTTTACTCACACTAAGAACCTCAGTTCTCAGTATTGATCAATAAAACAATGTATTTTTCATCCTTTCTTGCTCTGCTAATCTAGGGAAATCCTTAAAACAGAAACACTGCTATAGATCTTTGAGGGATATGCATGCTTCGTTGTTTGTGTTCCTCATGTATTTATGGACCGACAGGGCTCTCACTGAGCATCTTTGTCTGTTTTCCAAGGTTTTTGACCACCTCACATGCCGACTGTTTTTATACAGGAATGGCTGCTTGACTGACACATCAGGGTCAGGGTGAGAGATGAGTACTGGTGCTCGTGGCACAAGGGCTACATTTAACAGATACCAGATCATGCATTTTTTGGCAGGATTTTAAGAGCAGTGTAATAGGAGATGCAATAAAATTATGGTGGATGTTTAAAGACAATTGTTACAGTACAAAGCACATTACTATTAATCTATTTAAAAAACTCCCCCTCAGAACACACTTGTCCCATTATTCTTGCCACTTTCTGAAACAGTTCTGGAAACCCTCTTTCTTGAGATTCTTTAGTTGTACTGTCCTGTCTACCTGGATGGGCTGAATCAATTCAAAATCATTTACCTTCGTTTTGACACTGGGGAAGAGCCAGATCCAGCGAGAAGCTGAATGCGGAGACACCACCTGTTTTTATGAGCCTGCCTTTGGAATGGCTGACACCGGTCAGGAGCACCCACATATGTTTACCATGTTAGTAATGATATTCATGAAAAAGAACTTCCAGAATTGCTTTTCAAAGTGGTGACAGTGATGTGTTAAGTATGTTCAAAGCAGCAAGATAAAGTATTTTGAGTAGCATTAATGGTAATTTTTTTTTACAGTAACACATTTTAATTTAACAATTTAAATATTTACTGAGTATTCTGATCACATTCCATGGATCATTATATGTAAATAACTGTGCCTGGCAGTGGTCATGTGGAACAGGGTGCTACAGCTTCAAGGAGGATGACGATTCATCAATCTTTAACTTTCTCATCTCATGCTGAATCTACTAGACCCACATATTCTGCACAATAGCATTAGTATCCTAACGTCCCCAACGCATTCCTTTCTAGCTTTATGGGAAATCTCTGGATGACAGTGGAGATCAGCTGGTAGGCGTACTCTGTAAAAGGGTAATACATGGAGTAATGCTAGTCACAGGATGGCAACATAATCGTATGTGACTGTCCTTTTCTGAGAAAAACAAAAGAAAATCAGGTACAGTATTTGTTAATGAGACCACATTAACAGAGGTTAGTAATACAGTGAGAAGTTTTCTAACCCATCTCTGGAAGTTTGTCTCCCATTATCTCTCTTCTTTATCCACAGGAATAGAAAAAGGTGGTATAGGACCAGCTAGCTGAGCCCCTTCTGGGTCCTTTTACAGACTGTGGCAGGCACAAGGTGGTAAATCTTTAATTTCTGCCACCATCATAAAGAGTGCTCTTTCTTCTTTCCCTTCCCATCATTTATCATCTCTAACAGTGCTGTTAAAGAGCTTTTATTGGCTCTTGCAAAGTTTTATCATTTTGAAAGTGAATTGTTTATATTCACTTATATTCCAGTCTGAATGGTAAAAAACATAAAAAAGATAGAATCAGGTTATTATATATTTTTAGGAACACTTGAAAGTAGCCTATAAACAAATCTTGACTTTAATATTTAAAATGTGAATTAAAATACCAGAACATTATTACTGTAACACAAATTAAACTGAAGATGAGAAAAGATCTGAGTAAATGTCATGAAAGGATAAAAAAAATTTGAGAACTAGGGACCTCTTGATTTTGTCTCCGTTTTATCCTTGACCCTTATTGAATCAGATTTCCACACAAAAACTACTGACAGTGCCTTCTACAAGGTCAAGGATGCCTGGCGTGGGTAAGTCTGGAGCCCCTTTATCTGCTGTTATCATCTCTGACCTCTTTGTCAAACATCCTTTGCTTTCACTGCTGAGTCTGTTTCTGAAGGCAGTCACCTTAGCTTACATGTTTGTATGTGGCCAGCACTTAAGGGAATACTCGACAAAAATAAGCAATTAATCAGTTTGCTACCCAAGCAGATTATGGAGCACAAGCCTATAGTTTCAGCACTCTCAGAGGCTGAGGGGGAAGGACTGCACATGTGAGCCCAGCCTGGAACAGTTTAGTGACTTAGTGAGGCCCAGTCTCAAAATAAAAAACAGAAAAGGACTGGGGATGTAATTCAGGGCACAGGCCCCGGGTTCACTCCCCAGTGCTGGGGGAAAAATGCTTTCTGGATGAGGATGAGACCTTCTTCCCCTTGCCTCTCGGACTGAGCAGGTTCCCCCTCCTTCATTCCTGCCACCTCAGCCCGAGACTTCAGTGATCCAGTGCTGGTCTTTTTTCTTCATCTAAGATTCCAGTCACTGCACACTCAGGGACAACAATGTTTATATCTTCTAGGTTCAAAATGTTGGTGGCACCTTTCGTTTATTCTTTTTCATTTACTTTAGATAAGCAACTAGCAATTTCTGCCAATTTTTAACACTTTCTTTGAAATATGTAATGTTTATCTACTATTTCTTCTCAGTTATTGCTGCTACCACTCTGGGCCAGATCAGTCCTTTAAAAATTATGGAAGAGCCTTAATCTGGTTTCTAGGCTTTATTTCACCAACGAAAACATGATTTTTCATTCCTTAAATTCCGTTTCATTTATGAAACCTAATTTCAAAAAAAAATTAAAAATGTTGATTGTCACCTTTTTTTTTTTCAAGTTAAACTTCTGCGAGGTCCAGGTCATTTACAACATCAGTGGTTTACTTTATCTCCCACCTTACCTCTGAACCCATACACTGGTCAGTCCAGGTACCTCACTGGTATCCTGCCACACCATGTAGATAGCTGCAACTCTGCTTGCCCTCATTTCTTCATAGTAAAGCACCTCACAGCCTGGCTGACCCTTAAACATCCTTCAATGCCTGGATCTGGTACCACCTCTTTGGTGACTTTCACTGTCCACTGAACTTGCTGTCATTGGATGCTAATGGTACTTACTGATTGTACTAGTTGGTTGAAATCTTTATGGTCCTCATTGGTTCATCTCAGAATTCACATTCTGAAGTCTTTTAGTTTTGCTTTTTGAGGCAGTCTCACTATGCAGTTCAGGCTGGCCTAAACTCACTATTTAGCCCAGACTGGCCCCAAACTCAAGGTGATCCTCCTGCCTCAGCCTCCAAGTGAGGGGACTATAGGTGTGCAACACCATACCTGACTCCACATTTTGAAGTCTTAACCGTACCTCAGAATGTGACTGTTTTTAGAGACTGGATCTTTAAGGAAGTAACTGAGATCAAATGAAGTCATTAGAGTCCATGCAATTTGGATAGTATTTTCATAAAGAGAGAAAATCAGGACATGGACATATGCACAGAGAAAGGACCATGTGAATACCTGGGCAAGATGGCCATCTACAAGCCATGGAGAGATATCTTGGAGGAAATCAACCATGGTGACACTTTGGTTTTAGACTTGGAAGAAATAAATTTCTGTTGTCCAGCCACTCAGTCAGCGGTACCCTGTTATGGTAGCATTGGAAAAGTGATATAAAATATAACTCCATACTTCTTTCTATTTATACCTATGATGTTCTAAACATGAGGAACAGAAATTTTGGGCAGTGGAGATCTTTCCTTGCTCCTGATGTCCCATCTCCATGGGCAGCCCAGGGATAGGTATAGCACTGGTGGTGGCCAGGAGAGGTGTCTGGAGGTGCTAAGAGATCATTTCCATCTTGGCTTGGAGGCTCAGAACTGAGTGAAAAGCACATACTCTATATACTTTCTGTTAACTGGATCGCCAAATTAGTACATGCATCAAAATTAATTCCTGATGCTTTAAAGATAAGTGCAAATAAAAGGACCGATACAACATTTATTTGAAAAAAATTGAGGGAAATTCACGAACAATCAAAAGGTATAAACATCTTAATTAAAGTTCAGAAGTCATAAAAGAAGTTACACAGTGTGTCTATAAAAATAGATGAGGGGCTGGCGATGTAGGGCAGGGCAGCTGTTCGGCAGGTGTGAGGCCCTGGGTTCAAGCCTCCATTCTGCAAAACAACAAAGTTTTTATACGGCGGTGAAATTAAAAGACACGTGATAAACATGGAAAATGGTATTTTTAGCACAGAAGACAAATAAATGGCTGGAGTTTTTAGTATACAAAGAGTGGAAACAAAAGTGTGCAAGAGTGTGCGGACTAACAGAAAAATTGGACACCTATATAATAAGGAAGTTCAGGATACCCAAATTAAAAAGGAAATAGGTATGGGAAGGCACCTAAACCAACAAGAAGACAAAAAATGTAAGTTAAAATAATCATGAGGTATCATTTTACTCCAGGCAGATTAAAAAAGATTAAAAAGAAAGGTAACAGATACAGTATCAGAACAAATGTGGCCTCACAGATTGTTGCAGGAAAGATCAACTATCAAAACCTTTTAGAAATGCAAACTATCAAAAGCAAAAATACCTTTCAGCTCAATAATTTTAACTCGAAACGTTTAGCCCATAAAATATAAATCCCAGCACACAAGAATATTTTTGGTATTACTATAATTTTTTTCCAGAACTCAGAATTGAACCCAGAGTCTCATATATGCTAGGCAAGCACTCTACCTTCATGCTACATCCCTATTATTTTCTCAAAAAATTTTTTGATTCTGGGTTTAAGTTGCTCAGGTTGGCCTTGTAGGTATCTTGGCCTAATAAGTTTCTGGGATAACAAGTGGGCAGCATTGAGTACAGCCAACAATTTTCACAGTAGCAGAAACAGAAGAAGGAGAGGGAGAAGGAGAAGGAGAAGGAAGAGAAGGAGGAGGAAGAGGAGAAGGAGAAGGAGCAGCAGTGGCAGCAGCAGAACAAGAAGCAGAAGCAGAAGCAGAAGAGGAAGAGGAGGAGGAGGAGGAGGAGGAGGAGGAGGAGGAGGAGGAGGAGGAGGAGGAGGAGAAGGAGGACACTGATTTTCAAGAGCAAATTTTCCACGAGTTTATCAGCATGCAAACATTTCAGAGTAGCTTATGCTTATTTTGCCCCTGTACCAGCTCTCTGAATTTCTATTTCTTTGAGGGACCATAAGCCATCATCTTATCCCCTTAATTACAAAAGTGACATAAACATTTATAATCACAAATTATCAGCAGCATATCAATGTTGTCACTAGCAAAATTAGGTTTGTGGATATTTTGTGTATTATTCATGATAAATATTAGCTTGCAAAGGTTATAGCCAGAAGGCAAGACCCTTATTTTGTAGCCTGGTAATTTCCTTAAGAGTTTTAATCAATCAAAAATGCAAACTTTTTTGATAATGAATTGACATGTCAAAATTTTACATTCAGATGACAGAAGACATATTTAAAACTCATTGTCAATGTTTCCTTTAGAAAATATTACACTATTATTCTAATTTTTATAATTACACTATTTTACTTAATATAGGCAGAATATAATTTGCATAAGTATCACTTGTCTAAACCAGTTATTAGTAGAAGTGCACTTATGTTATAAGATTTAAAGAAATCAAGTTTTTAGTGTTTGTAAATTTCCATTACCTCTTGGTAGTCTGTCACTTTCAAGTAACGCAGTGACCTACAAGGAATCTTAGAAAGGGGACATTTTCATTTTGCGCATTAAAGGCAGACTTGGTCATGGCTGCAACCTGCCTTCCAGAAGCTGCAGCTTCTACCTTTTACCTCGTCTGCCCTTCAGCCAAGCCAGCATCCCTAACCTCAAGGACAGCATCCAGGCTCTAAGCTTGAGGTGCTCTCTTCATTCCCAAATGTTCCTCTCTGCTTTCAATATCCTCACTTCTTTTGCTCACAGAGTTCTGCTCAGTTCTGGTCATTGCCCTGGGATTACCTCTTGCTTGGCCTGTGTACTGTCTGCATTCTTTGGACCTGACCTGAGGCGAAGAGTTAAGGGCAAGTGTTTGTCCTGTCTGAGTGTCCTCAGTACTTGGGGACACTCACCTGTCTAGTGCATCCAGCTTGACATCCTCTACAACCTTCTCAAGAGGTAGCTTTCAGCTCCCACCTCCATTCTGAATTGCACAACTCATTTCTTTAGTTCTTTTCTCTACCAGATAAAAACCAATACCCAGGGTCAGTTTATACCTGTAAATTACCCAGGGGCTTTCAGGTTTTTTTGCCGTTCTCTGATCTGGGTATTTTGCAGTAATACCCAGAGCCCTAAAAATGAAGCTTTTAATTTTAATTACACTCTTAGACTTAGTTAAGATGCTGTTCCCTGGATGCCCTCTATGCCTCTTTTAGTTACATAACAGGAAAAAAGAGGAAGAGAAAGTAACCTTGATTGTGGAGTGAGACCAGCAGATACACACACTGGAAGATCTTGTCTCTTAGACAAGATCACTACCACTAACTCCCATGATCTTCATGGCACTGAGGGCGCTCTTGAGAGCTTTCAAAGGCTAGTTCATCTTATTCTAGACCCTGGTGTAAGATCGCATTCTTACTTCCAGTCATCTTTCAAATATGGGCAGTCTGCCCGAAAGGTATCAGCAGAAGCATATGGCGATACACATGATAATGCTATCTTTTTGGGGGAGTGAGCTAAACACAGTGAGCACATCTGTGTATGACCACACATAGGACCCACGGATGCAGCTGAACAACAAAGACACACATTCACCTGCCTGAAGAATAAAAGAAACCAGGAATGGCTCTTAAGACTCCTGTTTACATTTTGGCTCTTTTCAAATTAAGTATGTCAGTATTTTATCTGAAAAAATACTTAAATATATAAATAGAAGTAAAAGCTTACATAATTTTCCCCTAGAAAGTCAACTGCTAAAGAGTTATTTAATGACTGCTCATAATAATTTTCTTAGATTTGCCCGTTCAGAACACAATAAAAGAACATTTTCAGATTCTATACATGTGACATTTAGTTTTTTCTCTTGTTCTGTTTTACTTTATATCACACAGATAAGAAATTTTGGTTCCTATCAAAGTGAGATAAAATATACCAGTATTTTAAAAAAGCTATTATTCTTCATTAGAGTGTGTCCTGTCCCAATGCAACTGGAAGAGATGTCAACCAAGCTTTCTAAACAGCCTGGCAGCAGAGAGGACACGTGAAATGCACGCTGGCCTGAGCACGCCATCTGCAGAAGCTGTGTCCAGACTGTGACACCAGCGTATTCAGACTCTCAGGATCTGGAAGTGAGGTCAGCAGGAATGGAGAGCTTCTGCCTGGCGGAGAGTGACAGCTGTGTTCTCACTTAGCCTTTCTAGAAATCCTGTCAAGGAACCACCTCACTTGTGGGAAGATTAAGCTGATTTATTTACAGTCCTCCAATTCCGCGCTGGTAATATTTTATCCTGTAGTTAGATTATTCGGTGATTTGCTAAGACTATTTTAAAAAAATGAATTTTAAGGCTATTAATATTCCATATATGAATGTGTCATTACTTGGTAATCCTTTTATTGTCCATATGTTCATGCCTGTTGTGTACATACAAAATGTGATAAAATTCAGTGAATATTTAAATGAAAAATGATAACAATATTGCACATTGCCATTACTCCCCTATCAAACACTCTCCTTCCATTAGAACACTCTTATCCCATCGTCCCTGCCACTTTCTGAAACATTCCTGAACGCCCTCTTTCATGAATGGCTGTAGTTGTGCAGCTGTAGCTACCTTGATGCCCTGAATAGTTTCCAGTGTTCACCTTGCATGGTCATGTTGGCTTTGCAAGAGCCAGAAGACACAGAGCCCCAGATCTGGTAAAGGATGTGGCTGAAGATGTGCTGCTTCAGGTGGCTGGCACTCAGCACGAGTAGTCATTGTACTTTTAATCACACCCCTTAAAGACACTCCTGAGAGAGGGCTTCCAGAATCTTCAGGAAGCAGTAAGAACAATGGGATAACTGTATTAAGAGAGAAGGGAGAGTTTTAAGTTTTAAGAGGGATAAATGGCAGTGTGTCTTGTACTGTAACAAATTTTCAAAATTTAAATATTCACTGGATAGTGTGATGACACTTCATATATTTTTCTTTTTCACCTGATTATCTTCAAAGGCTCTACAGGGAACAAAAAGCCTGTCTGTCTAAACCTGAAAGGTTACAGCCATATCTAATGATGAGTTATAACCTGAGAATTGGTTTCTGATTTCCTTCTTTAATCCACTAAAAACAATGTTAGATGGAAGAATAAAGTGAATAAATTTGATTTTCTAGTGTAATTTGCTGCTTTTCAGGCCTACTCAAAGATCTGCTCATGAGCAGCCTCTATTTCCTCCCAGGAGGCTGTCTCCCACCCCTGTCTCCTCTTCCCAGCTGTGGACTGCAACAAGCAGCTCACACAGGAGTCCTTCCCAGTGCCCACACACTGGACTCTGACACTAAACTCTTCGGTTAACAGCAGAGCCAGAGAGCAGCACAGCAGGGAGGAAAGCATCCCAAAGCCATTTGTTTTGTTTTTAAAGCTGCACCACAATTCTTGTTTTGAAAACAACATGGTAGGATAGCAGATAGAAATAGGAAATATTTTCCTTTCTTCCACATCAAACAAATAGACAAGCTCATCTCAGCATTCTTGCTGCAGAGAAATCTGCAAGGAAGAACTCTGAAGCAGCCTGCGGTCCCTGTGCCCCGCCTGTCCCTGCTCAGGCCTGGATGCCTCACAGAAGTGGTGTCACGTGTCTGGTGAGAGAGCAGAGGGCCTCACAGCAGGCAAGGGAAAACAAATGCAGGTTCTCCCGAGGCCAACAAGGCCAGAGCTAGACTATCTGACCCCTGAGCGACATCTCCTGAAGAGGTAACGAGGCCAGGGAAAGGGGAACTTCCTTTCTGATGCTGCAGGGTCTGGAAGCACAAAGCCTCCCGGTTTGAAGAGGTCATGAGAGCCAGGTGGGATGATAATTCCCCAACAATAACTTCCCAGGACAATGACTTTGGATTACAGGTTATCTGACCCTATCTGTATTAGAGGACCCAGGTGTCTGCATGGCCTGGGGGTGAAGAGGGGTGGAGAGTTTACTGAGACTCAACTCCCTAACAAGTTAGTGCCTTTGGGGCAGAGTGTGACTGGGGTAGATTACAAGACATTTTAATAATGTTATTCTTCTATATGTACATATGGGTTTGAATATCTTAATAGAGATCTGCACCTTATACATATTAACCTGGGCTGTAGACGCTGACTAAAGAAACATAGATATCTAAACATGCTTGCTTTCTGCTACTGAACTTACATCCTGGCAGCTATCTCTAAATAAACATTTTTCATTCCCTTCAGATTCCATATGTCAAATTCCAGTTAAGGTGTAATAAAGGAGAAAAATGTAAAGGAAGAAATCAGGAAAAAAAGGTTGTCAGAGATGGTAGGAAGTGGGTAGAACATTCTGGAAAAAATATGTATAGGTTTATAAGAAATGGAATAGAACAAAGCTCCCCTTCCCCCTAAAAAGGTCAAACACAGTCACCTCAAATCTACCACAGAAAGGAGATGGGAAACAAATAAAGTGCCTGGCACTCCTTTCTCCTTTAGAAATTTTTAGCTCTACTGATTTTTACCTGAGAGGCACTGTGGAGAGAAAACTTGTTTATTCATTGGCTTGTGGTGATAGATGCTCAGATAAACTGGCTTTAGCTGCTGTGACAAAATCACTTCATTCAATTTTTTCTGCAGAATGAAATATTCTTCAGATATCTTGGATATCTACAAAGAAGGTTAAATGTTGGATGGAATCAATACAAAGAATCCGGTAAGGTCCACAGGTACCCAGGGGTCTGATCAACTACTTGCACTCCCTGAGGGGCCCATGTTTTTAATTCAGGACTTACCCTGACCTTTGTACTCAGATCTGACAAAGTCCTCACTTCACATCATGTTCCCCTTTTGTGCTACTTTTCCACCTAATATTTTTCATTCAGAACTGCCAAACAAATCATGCATCCCATCCTGATCAAATCCTGACAGCCGGCCCTGCCCTTTCCACTCTGTTGTGATTGCCATTCTGCTTCTTCGGTCTCAAGGAAGCCCCCCTCCTCCAGTATTCTTAGGTGGACTTCAGGACTGTCTCTTTGGCATCATCCTCTGCTTCTGTACTGTGTGCATTCCAGCTCTGTTGACCTGGCTGTCCTGCTAGGACACATGTGGGACTCCTACTTTTCTGCCTCTAGAACACCAGATCTATATGCACAGGGTAGTATTAGCCAGCTCTCTGTGGATGACTTGATAATTCTTCTCTCAGTGTTTCAGTTGCATAACAGGTCTGGATTCTAACACCTGATTTGATATTTGGACTTAGCAAATGTATGCTAAGGAAAGGAAGGACTATGTATTTGTAAAATTCACTATTTCCAGTGGTTTTTTTTTTTGAACAGGAAAGGGGAAATCAATCCTTAGGAGATCCTACAGGCAGCCAGAGGTTAGAGATGTCTGGACCTCACCTGTAACCCAAGGCAGGGACTGAGGGAAGTTGCTGTGCTTTCTAAAAGGCTAAGTTACTACCGGAGACAAAGGGCGTGGTTTAGGGCCTTAGGGGTATGAGCCATGCCTTCCTGGAACTACCTTAGTTTATCATTTCTTCCATTATTTCCAACACTGTAGACCACCTTAGTAATGCATGCATGTTAGAGGTTATCTGGTTAGTCTTTTACCTTACACAGGATAAAATAAAAAAGCTGATAAAGTTGTTTTCTTACAGTCAAATACCTAGTGGAAACTGGAGCAGACATTTTTACAGGAGCTAGTTCCTGCGATCTCTCCGTGGTACCGATTTGTCAGAGGTGCATGTTTACCAGTGAGAGGCCTAAACCCAACTTCTTCTATAAAGTAGCTGAGACCTGTCTATGACGGGCAGAAGGTATTCTCCAGGAAGCAGTTTTTCCATGTTTTATAACCCACACCATCCATGCCTGCTTATTGTCAGAAGAATTTCATCTTCATCAAATACATCCCTCAGTACAGATTCACATCTAATTTTGACACTACGTTTTTTTAACTAACATTTGAGGCACGGAGAAAGCGTCAGAGTATTTGGAATACTTTAAATTTTTTTAGCAATAACAGAAATCTCAGATACATGAAATTTTGTGTGCTCCAACCCTAGCATTTTAGCATGTAATTTAAGTCAATCTCTAGTGTCCCTTTAGCATAAGACTTTTGTCATATTGTATGCCATTTTTATCACACTGAAATGGTTTAAAAGCTCGCATATATTTAATTAGCAGGATCCTTGATATATTTTTTAAAAGGTCTCATAAACATAGCTGAAACAATAGCTGAACTAATACTAGTTATTAATTGTTTCATTCACTTGTTAGGTAGCTCCCAATGATTTTTACTAGTAAAGAAATTTTTTCACTTTACATACCTGCTCTGAGAAAACTGCCAAATCATATGCTCGTTTTTCTGAAGCTGCCTTTGAGTCTCTGTCATCCTTCATCTTGCTATTACAGATTTCCTCATTTTTTGTGGGACAGGAATACACACCGTGAGTATTTTTTGTTACTTCTGTTGGTTTTGTAAGAACCCTTTGATTCTTAATGGAAGGAGACACACTGTCTTTCCCTAACTGCTGCCTTTGCTGGAAACTGTGGCATTTGCTCTGGATGGACACCCCGGCCAGATCTTCCTTCTCTGGGACTGGCATCGCTGAGTCTGTGTGCCTCTCTTTGGCCATCCCATGCCTTTCATGATCTCTCTCCTGGCCGCACACTGGTGCATTCTGGGTAACTACAAATGTCATATTCTCTTTTTCCTTGCTATTTGTATTTTGGGCAATTGTCTTTTGGCTAAGACTAGGTTCCGAACTTTTTTTCAAAGAAGTCTCACTCCCAGGTAACCAAAGCCCTGGGTTGCTTGGCCTTTCCACTGTGTTCTCCCTTTCTGGATCTGCTGTTTTGAGTTCTACAAAATCCCTTTCCCCTGTGAACTTCTGAGAGTAACTCTGCATCGCAGCGTCCTCTTTCTGTGCTTTCCTTAGATTACTATGTTCTTCGGGGTCTTTGATGTACTGCTGCTTGGGACTTGCACCTGTCCAAGAGTCCCTTACGAGACATGGTTCTTGATTAAACTCTTTTCTATATGTGTTATTCATTTTTTTCCAAGTCTGATATCCTCTGTGGTGATTTTCAACAGTGGCAGTGGCTTCTCCTTTAGATCTAAAGGCAGAAATCTGCCCTATAGGTGGACTCCCTGTATTATTTGGAGTTGGAATGATTGACTCATTGGTAGACATCACATTTTCTGTTTGTTTCTTCACAAAAGATTTCCTGTGTAAAATATATGATATCTGGATTAATAAAAATAAAAAACAAACATTATATCTGAGAATATGATGATACTGAGTTAGAGCTTATCACTGCTTTTGGTAAGAGCTACCTGCAACATAATGCTGGGAGAAAAGCAAAACGGAACAAAGAAACCTCAAAGTAAAAACTTCTGTTTTTTTTCCCAAGACAAAGTCTCTCTATGTAGCTCAGGCTGCCCTTGAACTTATGTAGCCCAGGCTGGCCTTGAGTTTGCGGTGATCATTCTGCCTCAGACTCCTGAATGTTGGGATTATAGGCATATGCCACCATGCCCAGCCCTAGAAACTTTTCGAGTTACTTAATCAAGTGCTTCCCAAAATGATCCCCCTACTCATAACTGTGCTCAAATAAAGAGAAAACTAGTTTCAATGTAGAGTGAGAAACAGGCCAGCATGTAAGGAATTATATTCTAATTTAATGGGGTATCAAAATTCCAGCAATTTAATTTCTTCAAAATACATCTTTTTAAAAAATAGTGATAAGATGTAGAAAGTAAATCTACTTTTGAAAGTAGTAAGCAAAGTGTGTTCATTAGGCTCATGTTTTATACTTTATTAAGCATTGCATTTATTGTTCACAGGAAATAGCTTGCAAATTAAAGTAGTGTCCTTAATATAGTTCATGACTATGTAGTACACTGGGTAGAGTTTTACAGTTGTTAGTTTGCCAATATCCTCCTCAAATAATTTCCCCTGAACTTGATGATAAGGAGGTAATGTTTTCTCAATATCATTTTCCCCCCTTAGACAAGGAGAAAAACCTTATAGCAGCAACGCAGCTATGAACAGTGTGTATAGGAGGAGTTAAAAGGTCACAACTGACTTTCTAATACATGCCTTTGTGAGGTAGGAGTCTTTGGCTCAAAACTTTGAACTTGGCCCAGGAATTCATGTAAAAGTATTGATCTTTGGCAATATGTCTGTGAAGGACTTTTCTTGAGGCAAACTTAAACACACAGAGATTCCATTTTCCTAATTTTATACATCACTTCTTATATCTACTATTGTATTTTTGAGTTTATACTGGGAACACAGCAGGGTCTTAGGAGTTCAGTCAGAAAAGGAGGGGGAGAAGCATGACTTCCCATCATTTTGGTAAGTGACCACGCTAAGCATTTTGAATAATGCCGTAATAGCCATCTCAGAGAACAATTACATTAAAAAAATACAGTCAGAAAAGGTAAGTATGTTGTCTCTAAATAGCCACATTCCAGAAAACCTATCACTTTCGTTTTGAGACTTTAAACGCTGTGCCGCAGTTCCCAGGTCGGTCCAGCTGCAGCTACCTGTCTGAATTCATGACACTCCACCCTGTACTGAGGAAACTACCGGCCACGTGCAATGAAGCTTCCGAGGAGAATCTTCTGTTCTCCAGCCTGGGAAGGACAGGAGACCTCTGGTACCTGCTGGAGAGATCACAGAACTCGAGGTTTCTCTAGATCTCAATTGAGGTTTTCTAGGTCACAGGCGGGGGATCACTTGGGGCAGGGTGAGGGGAAATGAAGGACTGCAGGTAACTGGGAGAAAGGAGAGCTAGGAGTTGCGGAGCCCTGAGGGCGACAGAGTGCAGATCTGGGAAGCAGGCGTGTGCTGTAGTCTCTGGCCTCTCTTCCCTATCCAGCCCCTCCTGTTGCTCTGGGCTTCCCTGGACTAGCTGCTTGTACTGATCTGCCAGAAGTGAAAAACGTTTTTTGACAAATGTGTAAGAGAGGTCATCATTATACCTTTTACTTTCAAAGTTTTTCTCGTATGCAAATTCCTTATCATAAGTCTGAATGGTGACTACTTCTGTGTTCTTCATGTTAATTTCTTTTCTTTGTTTTCTGACTAGATGTCCTCTTGCAGCTGAAACATAAGAGGACTCAGATTAGTGTTAATGATGAGAAACAGAAAAACATTACCAAAACGAGTAGAAACAAGTGGTTCTAACTATCAGTGTGAAGGAGGAAAATGCAATTAAAAATACTAAATAGAATAAGTTTATTTTAAAAATGGGATTCATCAACAAGACTTTTCAGATACAAGCTATGGCAATAGAATCACTAAAGATTATTTTTCAAATTATGGGGAGGACTACAGTGAACCTAAAATGACAGAGATTAGAAAAGTTGATGATCAAATATATACATTTGCTTAAAGCTTGCTAATAGTTACTGTCCTTTTCATGTTCTATGTTAAACTTTTTATGGGAGAAAGTCTTTATGAGCTACGGCTGGACATTTTGGCCAGCCATCTCTGGGGCCACATGTATTTCAGAACTCAGATTAGAAACATGACTTTAGAAGAGTAACATAGAGCACGTACATAGGTTATAACAGCTCCATTTGGGGCAGCATGTTATAATCAAGCTTATTAGTATTCTTCAGAAAAACCAAATATTTTAACTAAGGAGAATGAATAGAGAACTATAAATAACCTCACTTCATATAACATATGTTTCACTGCCAAATGAGTTTTGTAAAACTTTGTTTTTGGAGCCTTATACATTTCAGAATTGTGGGTAAAGAATTAGATACCAAACTATGGAGACAGAATTTTGATGTCTTATTGAGAAGTTAACCAGTTAAAATTCTGAAAGAGGAACCGATAACCCATTACTGATTGACACAACTGAGCCTGGAACATGGATCTCTTCAACGTTAGGTAGCTATTCTGCCCACCACATTGTAGCTCTTCAGGAAGTGGATGTGCGCTATCAGTGGATCATAAAATTGACTTAGTGGGCTCAATCTAGCATCTAAAAATAAAATGGTATAGATTTGAAAAGACAATATTGGAACACACTGTTTGCAGTATATATGTATATGTATATTCGGTTACCAACTGAGATACTTTATTTTTTGTACTGGGAATTGAACTCAGGACCCCATGCTTGTCAGACAAGTGGTGTGCTGCTAAGCTATACTCCTAGCCCCACTTTTTTTTTTAACTATATGTTCAATAAAAAATATTTGAGAGACATTGTATCAAGCCATGCTGGACTCTATTAAATGTCTTAAAGAGAGACAGAAAGCAAAATCCAAAGGCTATTAATATATTTTAATGGAAAATTTGTAAAGTATGGTTATAGATATTATTTCCTGAGAACTAATAAAAAGGGACATACTTTATTAAAATAAAATTTAATTAAGTTGTGAAAAATTATGGCAAGTATGACCTTTGAAATAGAGCAGGAAGTCTTATTGTCCAAAGAATTATAATACTGTATTGATTTTTGAGAATCATAATTAAATCAATTGTTGCATCTTACACAATAGGCCAATTGTGTTTCATTAATTCTCAACAAAATATTCTTTCAAATATTAAAGGTGTCAATCACCAAAATAATCTAGTTTTGATTTAATATAGAGAAAGTATGAAGGTAATACATGCTAGGAATAAATACATAAGCTAGATGAAAACTGGAGTCTGTATATAAGAAATACCAGGAGATTTTAGGCTCGTATCTAGATACGGTAGAATGCTTTGTCACACTGAGATCGTCTGAGTATTACCTGACTGTATTATAATAGCACTTTCTTTCCTTTTCTGCTGGGTTTTTTGGTATCTTCTTGAACCCAAGAATGCTCTCACACAGGCTTGGATCAAAATAAGCTTGTCAATGGCTTCATTTCGCATTAAATTTAACTGTTCCACATGATAATATTTAAGGAAAACCTTAAAAGAATTAAAATAAAATGCAAATAAAACCATGGTATACAGATGTGAAGATTCATGTGCTCCACTTTGAAGGACAGCATATATATGAAATCTTTTTAGGTTTGGGAAATTACCATCTTTCATTTCTTTGGCCTGGATGTAGCTATGATAGTATGGATTTTTATGCTTGAAGAAAATCTTTTCCTGGAGAAGGAATGAGAAGATGGCAATGATATTGTTTATTTGCAACAGGAAGCTTAGTGTTTTGTTGGGTAGGACACTAAGAATGAAGAATGTTAAACTTTTTTACCAAAGTTTCTAGAATCATGTTTTGAGCTAAGCTAATTTTAGCATCACATGTTGAGCTTAGCTGATTAATGTCTTAATAAAATTTCTTAGACAATATTTCCAAATCTAAAAGTCTTACACACCAATTTACAAGACAGAGGATGACTATAATTGTATTAGTTCATTCAGCAAATGGTGACTGAATCACATCTTCTATGTCCTTATCTGGAGATTCAAAGATGTTGCTAGTGGAGGGAGTAAGGCAGGGAGAGGCCCAGGCAGGCAATACTGTCACTAGGCCCAAAGACTACCTCGGAGAAAAGAAGTTTCGCTTAGCATGTTACAAGAGCAACAGTAAACAGAGACAGGGAGGAACCGGAAGACCTGCTCTTCTCATCTAAAAAATTTAGGTTCACCACACTCCCTCAGGAAACAGAAAAAAATTTACTTTAATGGTTAAATTTGCTGATAAAAATCACCTCAAAGAGTATTCTAAATCCATCAAGAAAGCCATATAAATTTAAACTTCATGGCCGAGTCACGAGACCTGGTATGCTTGACTGCAGAACTTGCTGAGCATTCCCTGAACTCAAGAGCCTGGTACCACAGGCCAAGTTTAGCATGATGGATTTTGATTGAATTTAGCTTTAATTTCTACAGGAGTCAAGATGTTAATATATTTAGTGTGTTCTGCTGTTGACAATTCATTTAAAATTCAATTTGTTTAAAAAGGTCATCATTTTTTCCTATATAACATTAGAAATGTTCTTATTTTAAATACTTTTATCCATGTTAATGAGTTAGAAAAGGTGAAGTGGAAAAATACAAATAGCTTTAAAATGCTACTTAAATATCATGTAGAACAGGAAAGGCAAAGGGCTTCTTTACAAGTTAAAACTCCATTTAAAGTTAAGCATGTATTTCAGAACATAATGATGAGATTTCAGCCTGATGGCATTCAGCTTTGTGAGCTAAATGAAAATGGTGTGAAAGAATATATTCCTTTTAATGTCCAGAATTTTACCTTGCTAAGTATTACAATAAATATGTATTATTCAATATGTGGGACAGTCTACGATTGACAATTTTCACACATGCCGTAAACTGTCACAGGACTATTGTCTCATTGGAATGTTCGCCTACTCCCAATATACACTAAGATACCTTTCTTGGTAAATGTGAAGTTCGTTTTGATACTGCTGTGGGGTGACCAACAGTACTTACCCTTGAGTGGCCAGTCTCTGAGTATCTCTTCACTTTAGTGCTGCCCTTTTCCTCTTTCTCCCTGTGATATATATATATATATATATATATATATATATATATATTATCCCCTGAAGTGCAGTTTGTGTACCCTGGTGCCTTATTTATTTTGTCCTGTCTTGTGATACTTTGAGGACAGTTGAGAATCCCAGTGCATGCTTTCTCCACTCACGTTTTTTGCTTTCATATTCAAGACTGGTTATGGTTCTTTCAAACTTTATTCTCTAAGGGAATAAATAAACTCTTGCAGGTTCTCAAAGCTAAAGATAAAAACTCCAATATCCTAATACACAGCCTAGAAATAATCATGAAGATTTTACTTCAGATAAACGTCAGATGTTTAATAGAAACAAATTTGAGAATTAACCAAAGAAAACAGAAATCCTATTTAGATCACTATGATTTCCCCCCTTCTATTTGACAGTGATTAAAATAAAGAAAATATATCAGTCTATTTTCTGTACTGTTTGAAGTAAAGTATGTTCATTATAAAAATTTCTTTTTTGGATACATCTTCAAGATAGTATTTTCTTGCATTTTAATTTTTTTCTTTTATTATTACATGTTTGCAGTGCATGATTATGTTAATTTTAGGGAGTAGGTACATGTACCCATACAGCTTATTTATGTTTTTTAGTCTCCCTGTGTTCCAAATTTCTTTTCACAATTTTCATTCTTGCAATTATTATTCTTACCTCATGTTTATGTCACATAATGCTTCACTTAGGTTGTTGGGTTCTTATGCACAGCATATCTTAATTGTACTTTCTCCTCCCCACCCCACTCCTTGCCCTGGGTCTCCAGGATTCTCTCCCCAAAAAAACATCTTTATGAATTTGCAAATATCATCCCTTATTTTAAAAATAGAGGTCCTGTAACTTAAAACCTCTGAAACTTAAAAGCATAATATTTTTAATCATTATAAAATGTAATCCTCAATAAACACAATATAATTGTTCAGTTATTCTATAAAAATTGCATGAAAACATTACTTTTGTTTTTCCAAGGGCCCAGTTATCAAGACCTGCTTTTTCCAAAATGGCAGCACAGGTGTCAGGGCTCACTGGGGGCTCTTCACTGGACTTGTAGCAGAGAACATAGTACCTAAATATGGGAAAAGGAGCCAGTTAGTACCCTAGAGTGGTCCAAAATGTCATTACCCTGACGGCCACTGGACAGCTCTGTCTGAGGGAATGGAAGAGACTCTCAGATCTGGTGCAATAGCCTTTCCTCAGAACAACCCTGAGCAGATCAGTGTAGACTGACACAAATCCAAGGCCAGTCTATTTGTGTGAAAGTGTAATTTTTCTACTTTTGTGATTGCTTTTCAGAGATGGAATACAATTCGAAAACTATGCATTGAAAGCAGAAAGATTTCAATGGCAGAAATCAGAGAGAAAATTTTTATTTTTTTGTTCACTCTCAAAAAACACTGGAAGTCAATTTTCAAACTGAGTGAAATTCAATAATAGCCAACTTTCCCACCACAAAAGTCAGTTTCCAGCATTTTTTTCCTTGAGTTATATTGTTTCTCTTGCTGGAGTTTTTGCTCTTGGTTTAATCCACAATCCACCAATATTTGAGGGAAGAAATAAGAAAGGGGTAATGCAAGAAATAACTGAAAGGGGCCATGAGGTCCTCTGAGCACAGAGCTTATTGACATTTGGTTCTATACATAAATTTCATAAATATAATGTAAATCTTGTAAGTGCATACAAAATAGTTACCATACTATCATTTCTAATTGTAGATGAAATAACTTTGAACGATGTCATATATTTAATTAATGGCAGGACTGATACTCAAACTTGGGTTTTTTGCTTCAAAATGTGAGTGCTTACCTACTCCACCGCCTCCCATGGGTTTGCTTGCATTACAGCCCTGAGAGCCAAACCATTGTGCAAGGTGCCTAGCGGGAAATGAAGCCAACTTCTGTGGATTCTTAGTATGACACTTCACTGGAAATAACCACAGTAAAAACCTAGTGCTACAGTTTGTATTGTAAATGCCTGAAAAGGTTACACGTGTTGGAAGCTTGTTCCTACAGGAACAAGGGGGCCCAGTGGAAGGTCTTTAGGGCCACTGGGGGTGTGCCCTAGAGGGGACATCAGGACACCAGTTCCTTCCTTTCCCTCTTTCCTTCACTCACACATGAGCATGATGAGCCCCCTCAGGCCCAAAGCAACAGGGCCACATAGCCATGGACTGAACCTCGAAAACTGTGAGCTTGAGTAAACCTTTTCTCATAAGTTGATCACCTCAGGTATTTGTGAGCAAAAAAAGCTGACTAAATAGTGACTTGTGCAAAGTAAATTCTTACTGCATATTTTCACCTAATATTGTTCTTTTGTCACAAAGCAGAAGACAGAATAGATAAAAGCCCTGAGGAATTTGCAAAGATAAGCTAGGACAGAGGGGGATTATTTAAGTCCCATTTACACCTCCATAAGACACTTGCAAATTGTTCTACCTCCCTAAGAGTCTGTGTCAACTTAGATGACATCTTTCAAATTAGTGACAAAAATTTTTAACCTTTTATTTCTAGAACTTCACATTACTCAGAAGTTATTCATGTGTTTTCTATGTGGTTTCTATGTAGTTCTTCCTTGCTTATTATGTAGTAATTTACTATTTTATTATATATACAGAAAAAGAATTTAGCCAGGTGTGGTGGCACATGCCTGTAATCCCAACATTCAGGAGGCTGAAGCAGGGGGACTGCTGTGAGTTCGAGACCAGCCTGGGCTACAAAGTGATTTGAACGCCAGCCTGAACTGTATAAGACCTTGTCTCAAAAAGATTTTTAAAAATTTATGAAAGTATTTATTCTTATTTCTGACCTTCTAAATAAATGAATGTCTTTCAAACACAACAGTATCAATACAATTGTTTTGGTTCTCCTTATGGTCTATACTGTAGAACCCTGGTTATTTTTAAAAATATTGAGTTAGTCATTGAAGGCACTCTTCACAATTTTAACTCAACTGTTTTTCTCATTTTATATTCTGTCCAATACTTTTACCATGTAGCTTACCCAATTTTACATTGGTCTCAAATGTTAAAAGAACTTCTGATACTTGACTCTTTTAAAGCTGATTTTCTTAACTGACGTAAATCCAGGGGCTTTTTATGTCTGTTAATCACTTTCAGGATAATATCTCGCTTAACTATTACAACCATCCCATCTGGTAGTCATGGCTGACCTATAAGCAGGGAAAAGGAGGTTCCACACAGGCTAGGGTTTCTCAGCACCAGCACTGTTGACATTTGGGCTGGGAGGGTTGTTTGTGGTGGGGAGGCACTTGTTCATTGTAGACTGATGTTTTGCAGCATCCAGGGCCTTTGTTCACCAAATGCCAGTAGAACTTTCCCCTTCCAGGTGTGACAGATGAAAGTATCTCCAGATATTGCCAGGTTATCTTTTGAGGGGTAAAATCCCTCCCAGCTGAGAACTGTTTTACAGGCCCCACACCAAAAGGCAGAACTGTTTAACACTGAAACTCAGGCCTCAGGACCTTGCAGCCTCTACCCTGTATGTTCTGCAGCCACTAAAAGCTTCCTGTCCTCTTGCACAGCTGCTACCTTCTCTTTTCAAGGTCTGATCAAACGTGAACATGATGCCTCTCTTCTAGACCACCAAGGCAATTCTTTCCTATTTTATTTGCTATAATTCCTATGAAGAAGTTTCATGTAAGCTATACAATGGAAACTTAAAATTAAATCCACATACCGCTTTATAAAGTTAGCAAAAAGTATCCGATGTGAGTATCCCAACTTTCGAATTCTTGCTGTTTCCAGAATTCCCGTGTAGCGAAGCTGTAGCAAAACCTTTTCTCTGTCATATTTTCTTGCCTGACGCTCATTATTTGGTTTGACGCAACGGACAAAATGAGGTTGGCCCACCACCATTTTAGATAACAAATCCATCAGGGAGTACTGTAACATGGAATAAAAATAAATTTCCTGGGGTAACGTATATAAATTTACGAACTTGCAGGTCTTTTTAATACAGTGATAAAATCTGAAACATTAATGTTAATAAATGGTCATACATATTCAGTAGGGAGAGATCTGATTTAATACAAATTTTACTTATATCTTAAAAATTACAGATTCACTTATAACAATGTGGAACTAATAAAACAGAACTTGGTTATTAAAAGTTTGCTTATAAACTCTTAAAGCAACTTTAATTGGCAAAATTAGTTTTGATATAATTTGTGAGTAATTAGATCCTTTCAAGCAAATTTACTGAATTATATTTAGGCACACAATTTGATTAATCCAGTTTATAAATTAATTTTCTTGTTCAAATCTCTCTTTACAGAAAGTACAAAAAGTACACACTTTAATCACTGTCCCATTCATCTTATTTTAAAATACCTTAGAATATAGATATAAAAATAAGCAAGTTGTTATCCACTTTAGTTTACTTTAGCATGTTCACTTTCTTCCTTATTTTAGGAGACTTTTTTTGTTAATATAGATAATAAAAGGTACTCTGCACCAGTGCCTTATTTAAACAGTAGTCAAAGACTGAGCTACAAAGAATAACATATTAGGATGATCATGCTTCACCAGATGCAGAATTCCAGCCAACTACATCTCAAGGACCAGGATCACAATTTATTGGCAAAACAATATTTATGCATGGACAATGTTGACAGATGTATCTCTTTTTGTATAGAAATACAAAAGTCTAGAATCATACAGTGCAAACAATATTGCACTTGGGCAACTGGCAAAGCACTGAATTTACATGCCTCCCTCTTGGGTACTGAGACTCAGATGTGACCTTTCCAAGCAGCTGGGTCTGCCACTTCGGAGCCTCATCTCTGTGAGTCACCATTCCCTTGGTCACACAAACATCTGACAGGCACTGGTGATGCTAAGGCAGTGTGTGTCTTCTGGCTTTGTAACAGCAACACATTGCAAGCTAGGGGCTGAATTTTTTTAGTTGCCAAGGCATAGTGTTACACTCTGCTCTCTGTCTACGGAATGAAAAATTGGTTTAGAAATAAACCACATATTGTGGAGAATTATCTTCTATCATTTTTCACTTCAGCCTCAAGATGAAAATGATTCTATGAACTAAACTGGTTTAAACATACAAACAAAGTTTGATGCTGATGGCAGAGATATGACAATAATGTGCATGATTCATATAAGAAAATAATGTGACACTAAACACTTTCAATGACTCACCTATGCTTCCTTGAAGTAAAGGGAATGTACTGGCAGCCGAGGTTAAGACAATAAGGCACCACTAATGGGTGACTAAGTGTCCACTGTCTGCTATGAGCTTAGGTGTTGAAGAATGTTTGATCAAAGTACTCAGAAAGTTTAAGTATTTCATGAAGCTGTTAGAGAACTGGATATATTTGATGGACATTTATAGTAAGCCAAATCCAATTTCCTCTCCCTCTTCCATATTAAATTGTATTAACTGATAATCTCTGAGTCTGAGATGGTATTTTCTTCATTTTTATTGGCTGGCTAATCTCATTTTAACAGAAGAGATAAAAATATGGAAGGATCATCTCGAGTCCTCTAGAGCATGGGGAACATGAAGTGCTTCTTGCTTTTCTTTCCCCATATTGCCCAAGTCAAGTCTCCTTGATCCCATGATGAGCAACTTCCCTGACTTTCCTCCCCACTCCATCCTATACTGAGTTCTATTACTCTGCTGAGGTACCAGCTTATGTATGTACAGGGAGACATGAGCTACATCTATGAGCTCAACCTTGTACGTACTATTTATCCTTAATTCATTTGGGGGTGGGGGAAGAGAATTAATAATTATAGCATTTAATTAATAACTGTTTTTAGATCTTATCCTAGTAGAAATGCATTTGGTTCTATTGATAAATTTTAATCAGGATATAGATTTCCACTAAGATTATCATGGAAAAACAAAAATCTTTTTTGCAGTTTAAATATCAGTAGCACATTTTGACATAGCCTGAATCTAAATATACTTAAATGGGATACAGTGAACATTCTCTTTGCTAACAGCACTGATATTTGCTACCAGATTTTGTTATCTGTAACTCATTTACAACAACATCCCTAAGCTTAACCCACCATAATGAAATACCTTACTCTAAAATATGATGCAACTGTTTGGGTTTTCATATTGGTTGTTTCCAGAACATGACAGGAGGCTTCTTCAGTTTCACCCTAAGAAGACCAAGGAAGACAATGAGGCCAAGGTACCTATTATACTTCATGATATATAGAGAGCACGTGGCATTTTCCTTCAGGTCACCTTAATTTCTGTGTTTAAATATACAAGAATGTACAGTGTGGTCCATATTTACACTTCAAGGTAACTTGTGTTAGTTGTATTGTTTCTTTGATTGATCTCCTATAGAATGAAGATATTTCTGATCCGAGCCAATCGGTACATTTTGAGTTTGTTATAGTGTAACATTTAAAACTATTTATAAAGAGATTTAGGAACATATGAGAAATTCAGGATTATTTTATCTTCTGTCAGTAATATGATGATAACAAATATTAATTTGAAAAGAAAAGAAGCATCAAAAGAAGAAAAACTAAGGAAAACCTGTTTCTTTAGGAGCAGGTTGGATTCTAGACTCAGGAAAAATGCGTTTTCTTACCTTTGTCATGTTAACTGATTTTTCTGAATTCTTCATTTGATAGTTTATTACATTTTTAGTTTTGGATAATGGCAGGTTACCTATGAGGGTAAATAAAAATAATTACCTCCTAGAATCCTTAATGGATAAATGATTTTTATCCCATTTATTTAAAATAAGCACTGTAAAAAAAAAATGAGCACCATTAAACTCATAATATTGAGACTCGGATGCTTAGATAACTATTTATGGAGACAAGGATAAAATAAAGCTATGTGACAATTTACAACAAACTATAAATTCAGACCCCCCTCTCAAGCAAAAACAAAACCACCAAATCTTCCAGTTTGCAAAAGAGAAGGGGTAGAGGTACGAGTTGTAGTTTTTTCAATTGTGAGACAATATGATACGATTATTATGAAGAGAATAATATGTTTATTTTGTGAATGTTAAATGGAAATCAAGATTTTTCTAAAACTCAAGTCAGTCTTTATGATAGGCCTTCTAAAGTATATGAAACATTACTTCACATGAGGCGCTTATAAGCAAATCAAGTGTGACTGAAAGGAATGGACATGTTGAGTCTAACATTCAGACATGTGCTTCATGCTAGAGGCTACATAAAACTCTAAAGTTAAGGACATAGAAACAAGAAAGACTTGGGTTTGGCTCCAAATTGCAATACTTAAAAGCTGTGTTGCATTAGATCATTTATGTAATGTCTGATGTGCTTTGAATCTATAAATTGGAGATAATCATGCTACCATACCGAATTCTGATGAAAGTGATAATCTGTCTGAAACACAGTGGGTCATTTTCTCTTTCATCTTTTTACTGTGACAGTTAATCCTGACTGTCAACATGACTGACTTGAGAGATTTCTGTGTGTGTTGGCGGGAAGGGGGCGGGGCGGGCTACATCTGGCCTCTTTCTCTTGGCTCTTCCTCATCTCTCTCTTCCTGGCAGCCAAGTTAGCAGTCTTCCTCTGGTAGACTCTTTTGCCATGATGATTTTGCCTTGAAGCAAGATCTGACCAGGGACTGAAACCTCTGAAATGGTGAGCCAAAGTAAACCTTTTCTTCTTTAAATTATGTATATTAACTATTCTGTCCAAGCAACAAGAAGGTGAGTAACATAAGCATCACACACACTAAACCAAACCAATACACAATCCAAGAGTGTATCATCCCACCAGTAATGCTCAAAATATCTTCAAAATCCAGTATCATTTAAGAAAGATTATTTCTCTTCTTACTCCTTGTTTTAGACGGTAGCCAGAGGCCAAATGTTTTTCATGCAGTCTCATTTTTTTGCACAGTTGCAAAAGGCTGGCTCTTAGGTGACGGGGCAGGAAGGAATCTTGTCTGAGATGTGGCTGGTGGTGCCTCTGATTTGCTTTCTTTCTCCTTCTTTCATTATTTTGGGAAAAGAGCTGATGGGTATGCATGATGGCTTCCATAATGGGCTGAAACTGTGCCTTTCGTATGTGAAATTTAACTGACTACAGCAGGGTGGACAGAGGCACATACAATTTTCAGAGATTTTCATCCACTGACTTTGTTTTATTATTATCAAAGAAAGTTTTAGAAAAAGATTCAATTGAAAAAAGTTATGACAGTCTTATGGGATTTCTTAGAAGCATAATAAATATACAAAGTTATAGGAACACATTAACTAGGCTACATACTTAATATTAATCAAATAATCAATACTATACTAAATACTTAATTTTAGTCAGATAATTTAAATGTAAAGTTTGTCTGAAAATGAAAATGTCTGAAAATGAAAATACCAGAGGAAATTTAGTAAGGGTAATTTAGAAAAGGGTAATAACTTCACTTTAATAATATATATATTAGTTATCAAATTACTTAACAAAATAAGTGAAAAGTCTTTTAAAAATGTATTTGTGTAGGATAGAAACTAAAATTAGCATAGGTCTTAAGTTCAGAAAATATATCTACTTTGCTTTTATAGTTGATCTGATGAACAAAACTGTGATAAAGCAAGGAAGTATGGTACATTACCTTCATAATGGTTGAGATAAAGTTCACATGTGAAGCCATAATGCAACAGTTACGTTTTATTTTAGAATGTTAAAGACAGCAAGGTAACTTAAAATTGTCCATTTCAAGCTTTTGCAAGCTATACTCATCAAGAAGTGTGGTACTACCATAAACTTAAGTATAGATGACACAGAGAAGTCCAGTCATTTGAATGCTGTCAAAGGAATTCAGTGGGGGATTCTTTTCCCAACAAATGGTGCTAAAATGTTTGGAAAGTGATAGACAGGAGTGGTGGTGGGGGGAAGGATTACAAAGTTCATTAGGAAACATCATTTGTTATAATAAATATATTCATTACTAATCTTTGTGATTTAACAGCAAGATCTGGGTCTATGTCTCACAAATTAAATTGAGGACAAAGGAGGTAGACAAGAAGGATGTTTACAAGAGAAATAGCTTGCAGTAGTTAGGAGAGAACCTGAAAGTGGGTTGCTATAGGACGGTTGTGGGAGATTTTATTAAAAAATTACCAGAGCTCAGACTACTCTGGGTCAAAGTAAAGTCAAACTACAGGACAGAACCAAGCATACTTCAACAAGAAATGGGCCTGGGGAGGGGGTCAAGGCACATAGACAGCATATGTCTACAGCCTCTATCCCACATAAGTGGTTTATAGATAGAGCCTCTCAGTCTCTATCCCACATAAGTGGTTTATTAAAATACAAAGTGAGAGGCAGGAGCAGGACTTGTCATAGTGATCATCCATCATCTTGCTTATTACTTTGCTTACGTTCCTGGATTTGTCTACCTGGTTCTTGTTAACTCTTGACCTCAGGCTCTTGCTTATCTGACTGAGGCCTGGTCATTCTGACTCTGTCTGGGGTATTATCTTCTGTTTAACTTGTCTGTCTATAATAGTGGAATTTTCATAAGTTAAATATTTCAGTTATAACTCAATAAAATTATTAAAAAGTACAGAGAATAATTTTTAGTAAAGAAAACCAATCCAAATCATCATTTCTCCAACAACTGGATAAAGATGTGTGATTTTTTGGCCTGTAACTCCCTTCATAGCCAAGGCTAGCTCTGAACTCATGATCTTACTGCATCAGCTTCCCAAATGCTGGGATTACAAGCATGAACCACATATCTGGTTGAATTGTTGATCAATTAAAGAGCTCACTATGCTTGCAGAACCTCAGGAACTACCTGAAGGTTGCCCACTTTGGAACATAGCAGGTGACTTTGAACTCTTTGGAGTGACTTTTCCAGGGAGTTGCTAGAACACCATCCTGATAAATGCCTCAAATACTTTAATAAAAAGTAGCTTTGTCTTATTAATTTATATATTTTCCTCAGATGACCTGGGGCAGAAAATATTAATAGATAAATATTTAGTGAGTTGAAAACAAACTAACATGAAAAACTGGGGATTTTGTTCATACAAATAAAAGAGACGGAAACTACTTGATTGGGCTTTGAGGAACCTTCCCAGTTAATGGAAATCATCTTACCTGTTTTGGTCAGAGGAAGGCTGACTAGTTGTCGAATCACACTGTTCTCTGATGATCTCAAAAGCAGCACAATATCAGTTGGAAGAGTGTCTCTATTTTTAGCCAAAAACCCACTTGCATTATAGAGGACCTATTGATATAGGATGCCATTGCCATGACCATAATCAGAATCATCATCATCAATAGATATTTACTGAGTGCTTATTCTATGCTAGGCAATAGAGATAGAAAGAGTACAAAGGTAATTTCTTACAATTTGGTTGGAAAAGTGAATTTCTCCATATGTAGCATGTCCTATAAGAAATGACTTGTGTCTCACTGATTTTATTTGGGTTGAACTGTGGTCTGATTCTTCGTGTTACATTGGAAGTTGGTATGTTTCTTTTCTATATTTGAAGGGATGAAAAGCATGTGGGGCTACCAAGGCATTCCTGATTCTAAAATAACTATTCATCTATACTGAATTGGCTATGATTGATTTTTATCTTAGTAGTAGTGGTGTCTAAACACACTGTCAGTATTTGTTTTCTTGGCACTTCTAAATAATTTCAAAACATAGTAAAGATGAGAGTATTCCATAGACTTCTGAACCCAAAAGGGTGGTTGTTATGTGTACTGAACTGTGTTCCTCCAAATTGATATCAAATACTCTGGAAGCATACAGAAAAAAAGGCCACATGAGGACAGTGAGACAGCAGCTGTCTGTAAGCCACAAAGGAGGCTGCAACCAGGTGTCACTTTGAACTTGAACTTCAGGCTCAGACTGTTAAAAAAATAATTTCTGTTGTTTAAGCTGCCCTGCTTATGACATTCTTGTCATGCAGCCTCACTAGACTAAAACAGCTGTTTAAAAATACTAGATAAAATGTCATGGGCGATTTTATGCTGAAAGTCCTGACAGGTTACAATTTTAAAGGTTTAAGGTGTACATTTTTAATGACAAAAGTCTGTGGAATTTTGATTAGCATATAAAGGTTGCCAAACAGACTAGGGTACCATCAGTTCTAGTCATTTTATTTTTATACATTTTTCATTTTTTACATTCTTTGATCTGTGTATTTTCTCAACATTGATTTGAAATCCTCCAGCATTTATGATATCACTTTGAGGGACTGGTCCATTATTCTCCACAGATGAAGGGAAGGAGTGTCCCCTGGGTGTAGGAAACAGATCTGCGGCTGCTTCAGTGTGTGAATGTATCTCTATTGATGTATGAACATTTCTTACAAGCTCATCAGCCAGTCCACCTGCCTGGGTTAGCCCTGCTCTCTGTCCTTCTCTTATTGAGGGAAGAGAGGCAAGGGCTGCAGCAGAGGGAGAGAGAGAGAAGCATCTAAAATCTGAAAATCACAGCTTATAGAAAAGGTCCTCTGCTATTGCTACATTACAAAAATTAGGTAACCATTGCCAGCTAATTACCCACAGCCATCTCTTAAGATCACAAAGATAAACTCTAGGCTTGGCTCTTTTTTTCCTTTTTTCTTCCAATTTCTTAATATTTTTTTTATCAAATAAGGATTTGGGTTTTTTTTAGCTTTCCAAAAGACCACAGGTATGTGCCCTGCAGTGCTGGTAGTCTCCAGAGTGAATGGCTGACGAAGGCTGGGATAGACCACAGGGTTCTGGGCAGCAGAATCAGTGCCAGGTGGGGACCATTTCATTATAACTGTCTGCTCCTTAATTTCCATGTCAATCCTCATTATTTGACATAAAGTTAGAAATAAAACTAAAGGCCAAGGATATAGTACAGTGACACAGCACCTGCCTGCAAGCACAAGTTTATGAGTTTAATCCCTGGTACAAAACAACCACAAACAAACAAACAAACAAACAAAACCAAGAAAATCCTCCAAAACTCAAAAAACTAAGTTAAAATTCTTTAGAGGTCTTACTTTTCCTGCATAATGGTAAATTCCAAAACAAAGTTCCATTCTTTTGGGTCTCCAGAAGTACTGTGATTTTAGATTATCTTCAAATTTTTCTGTAGGAAAAAAATGTCAAAAATTAAGATTCCCCTTGTTGTTTATCATTTGATTTTTGTTTTTCTTTTCTATTTTTTCTCTTAAATAAAAAAATCTAAATCTTCCAGAAATTCCTTTAAAAATTAAATTTCAATATCATGTGTGTAAAAGATCCTGAGAAAATATAGTGAGCGAGGGGAATTTTTTTTTTTTTTTTTTTTTTGATACTGGGAATCAACTCAGGACCTTATACCTGCCAGACAGGCACTGTGAGCATCAATTTTTACCATTGTATGATGGTTTAGGGCACTTGTCAAATGTTAGAAAGCACTGTAGTCACTCTGAACCTTTGTTAACACACGGGCTGCTGGTCCCCACCCTCAGTTTGTGACTAAATAGGTCTGGAAAGGGAGCCAACAATTCACATTTCTAACATGTTCCTAGGTGTCACAGATGCTCCTGGCTTGAAAACTGGCTTTTGAGAATCACTGGTCCTAAAGAAAGGAACTACTTTGAGACTGAACAGCAGAGAAGTTTGTGAGGCTGAGTCTGATGCCCATTGTGAGCCCCAAATTTTGGTGGTTTGGCCATCTTTCCATTTGAAGAGCTATAGGTTGTTACTGATTATATCAGAAACAAAAAAGTCATAAAATGGAGTTAAATTTTCTGCAATAGTTTTCAGACATTCAGAAGACTTGTGATTATATGTCCTAGAGAGGACATTTTGATATGTCAAATATTATTTTCCCTACAACCCTAGGTTATTTTTTTTCCATCTAGAATTGTGCAATTAGAGGAGAGAATAAGTTAGTCAGTGGGTCAGAAGGAAGCAACGCCACAGACTTAATGGTAAAAAACAGGATCAGCTTATCACAAGTTAAAGTGATGCTAATTTTTCTATAAGTATTTGTTAAAAATAATGAGTATATCTCATCACAGGGAATATGGTATTCCACATTAGAAAGTGACTTTCTCAGATGCCTGAAAACTCAAGTTTTTCTCTTTCTTTAACTAGACTTTTCCATTTAAACTATTTTGGATGGTAATGTTAATATACTATGCAAATCTCTGCCTTCTCAAACAGAAAAAATGAATACATTAAATCCTTCTTTGATGACATAGGATTATTACCATGAACATTTATTAATGTGCTGAACTTCAGAAGTTACTAAGGAATTTTAGGCTGTTTGCCGCTATTAAATGGCTCAAGTATAACCCATTAATTTGTATCTTGCCTGATAGCTTTTTCTTTTCAAATTCTAGATCTGCCTTTCTGCTCTGCCCATCAAATTCTAATTTTGAGTTGGATAATTTCTAAGGTAATTCTTAACCTGAGATTCATTCTATAGTTGAGGTTCTAACATAAAATAAGAAGTAACCTAATATCTAACCTTGTTATGCTGAAAGTCCTGACAGGTTATAATTTTAAAGGTTTAAGGTGTACATTTTTAATGACAAAAGTCTGTGGAATTTTGATTAGCATATAAAGGTTGCCAAACAGACTAGGGTACCAGCAGTTCTAGTCATTTTATTTTTATACATTTTTCATTTTTTAAATGTTTCATATTGTCATAAACATACATTGGTCCAGGTATTAGATCCAAAGTCCCTTCTTAAAAGTTAGACATACAGGCTTTGTGACAGCAATTTTCTTCTAGATCACTTAACACAATTTAAAAGATCACTTAGAATTATATGACTGCATCCCTAGAACTATAAAATCATTCTAGATTTAACACTCACCTATAAGAGTCTGGTCACTGGCCTTGGGAAATCTACTTTCTTCATCAAGTAGGGATAGTAGACCCATTGGCTTCTGCAGAAACATATCTAAGAGGGGCCGATTATCTTCATATTCAATAACTCTAACATCAACATCTTCATTTAGATATTCACTCTACAATAGGTCATCACACAAACAGAAGAATCCACTAACACTGGGTGAATCATGGATAGCCTAAGTGTAATTACCTAAAATTTTGCTTTACATATAGTAAATTGTCATCTATGACATTGCCCTTAAACTGAGGGTATCATTTTATTTTTCTCTCCACAGAATTGCTAGTACCTTAAAATCAGCACTGACTATACTCAGGATAGTAACAAAAGGGTTCTGATCTGTATTCTAGAATTACAGATACCTCCGTATTCAAGTTTTAGAGGAATATTAATGAAAAGTAATATGATTATGTTCCAGAATTTATAAAACATGTATTATGCATATCAGGGTTATGCTTTCCCCACTGCATCTCTTGGAACCATTTCCTAGCTTTACAGATATGATTCCAAACATTTAGATTTTAGTACAGTGGATAACAGTGGGTCATGGGAACAACCAAGGACACATAGTTTCACATCTGGCTCTGTCACTTCACTGGCCTTATAATTCATTGGAATTTTCTTACTCTTTAGGCTTCTCTCTTCTCCTTCTCTGTTGAAGGGGGTAGTAATCCTCATCTCAGAAGTAAACACATATGGTGCACTAACAATCCTTTGCTACTGAGTATAAAATGTGTCAAATAAAGATAACCACAGACAATGACTGTGGGGCTCTGACATCAGCACAACGTAGATGTCACTGACCTGCTTTAGAAAATGGACTTGAAGATGGAGTATGTGTGTGTGCAGTGTGGTTCATCTTTGTTCCCATGACTTTACATTCAAACCTCTCCTCGGGGCCAGTGCTAAAGTATACACACATCTGCTCTGAATCATGACTCACTAGTGGTGCTTATGGTGATGGTGGTGTGGTCAATGGTTTTCAGGTGAAATAATAAACTCTACCAATAGGAATATTTATGGAATAACTGCTGACTCAGGGACCATGTCTTGCACTTCTTCTATGTTTACTTTAACATGTAAGAACATGTAGGCACTTTTCAAAATCACTTTATTCTTTAATTCATGAAATATATTCATTGCACATCTTCTAACAAGCACTGTGGTCAATGATAAGGGGATGTTTAAAACAAGCTCCTTGTTGTGACAGATTTAAAATAGAATTTGGGTGATAATGCAAGGTAACACATGGTAGATGGATGCTAAGTACAATAATACACTGCACCAGTTTAGGGAAAGAAAATTTATTTCTGGGAGCTTTAGAATTTAGCCAGTGGCAGGTGGAGCCACTTGTTAAGATGAAACATTTACTTACTATGGTAGGAGCTTTGTGAAACCGAAATATTATTTCAAGGATGTCATGAGAAAAAAATATATATTTGCCTTTTGTAGTGCTAGAGATTGAACTCAGAGCTTTGTGCTAAGAAGCCCTCTACTAGTGAGCTACAATCTGAGTCCAATGTATATTTTTTAAATAAGACAAAATCTTGGGCAAGGAGTGTAGCTCAAAGGTACAATGCTTGTTCAGCATGCAGGAGACCCTGGGTTTGACCCTTAGCATTGAAAAAAGAAATATGATGCATGAAAAGGAGGTAAAATCTGGGGCCCGAAAGGTAAAAAACCTGAAATACATTTAGTTTATTCAGTGCAAGAAAATGAAAGCAATATCGTGACGTTTCATAGCATTTCATTTGAAGGTAACCTTGGGAGAAGTTTGTATGCCTACAATTATTTTACTGTTAGACACATTATGTTGACAGCATATAATAGCTTAAATCACCACTGCAAAGTTCAAGAGAACTTTTGTGTACTTTATATAAAAAGCACAGGAGGTTATGTTCTAAACTGATGCATTTGTCATTTCTATTTGCCTGTGTCAAAATAAAAGGAATGCTTCTGTGGCAGGTCATACAGAGAAGAGATTAGTAATTTAAAAAACAATGGGATCTTCTTGAAGACATCTACTGGTAAGAGAGACTCCAGGAGAACCAGTGGAGATAAAACTGTTGTCACCATGCTCACCAGTTATAAAGTACTTCTAATAATCACAGCTAGGACAATTTATTATAGTTTATAGCAATCATGATAGCTAAATTTATTTTAAAGCATTTGTGGAAAAACAAAGCTCATATTTTCTCAGAAAGTCCTCTGTTACGGCCTGCATATTAAAATACATTAAAGCAGAAAAGATATTACCATATTAAAGTTGAAGTGGTAGCATATATAATCCCTACTCTGTCCAGACTGCTTGAGCTCCCTTTTTAAAGTGGATAGGTGAACAGTCTTTTCAACATCTATGAAAGATGCAAGTGAAATCAGAAGACCTAAAAGTTAGGAAACCTAAAATCCCTCAAGGTCATTCCTGTTTTTCACTAAATTTAGAGTTTGAATGGTGGCGAAAAAGCCCAGAGGTGATACAATTCCACAACCACGTCCTAAACAACAAGTTTAAATATTTAGGGCCCAAATGATACCTTAAAAGAGATTCAAGATCACTCTACCAATCCCTCAGACTCACAAAGCCGCAGAGAAGGTGGTTCCAGGGCCTGAGAGAGGCTGTACACTTCTATGGGACTTATAAAGTAGATGCAAATTTCGGCAAAGATTCCTCAGCAGTTATCAACATGACAACAGTCATGCTGTCACTTGGTCTCCCCTTCTCAGACAGAACTTCCCTCCATCTCTCAGACTAATCCAGTAACTTCTTTCTTAGTTGGTCATTCTCCGTGAGCCCTATAATATTTGACATTTTATTTTATTTTTTTTTAGTATTTCTACTTGTTTACTAATCTGTGTATCCCATTAGAATGAAAATCCTGTGTTGACACCCTAATCCCAGTCCATTTGGAGATAGTGACTTTTAAAGAGGTAATTAAACTAGAAAGAGGCCATAAAGATGAGGCTTCTGTCCAAAGTGACTAGTGTCCTTGTAATAAAAGAAAGAGGCACTAGGGTTGGGTAGAGGAGAGGCCATGTGAGGACACAGTAAGAAGATGGCCATTAACAACCTTAGAGAGAGACTTCAGAAGAAACCAGCTCTGCCAATACACTGATTCCAGGGCTAAATTCCCCAGCCCCTATTCATCCCAATTCTTTATTCCCTCCCCTCCGCTCCCATTGATCTACCTCACTATTTCCTATTATTTACCTTTTCTTTTGCTCTTAATTTATATTTTGGATTTCTTATACAAGAGAAACCATATGATATTTAAGCTTGCGCATCTGTGGTGGTTAACTGAAGTATTATCAGCTTGAATGGGGGATGCCCAACTGAATTGAGTCAGCATGGTTCTGGGTGTGGAAGAGGCTACACTTTAAGGAGGCTAGCTGTAGGAATGGTATAAAAGGAGAAGGGGAGTGAATGATCTCAGTTGATCTTCCTAGGAGGAACTCTGCTCTTCACCTTGGGTGTCCTCTCCTGGCTTTCAGTGCTGATTATTTAGCTTCCAGCATGGGCCTTTCCACCTGCCGCTGGGGCCTCTAGCTCCTAACAGCAACACTCTGACCTCCCTGTACAGACGCCTTAGTCGATCCTTTGGCCTCCTGTTGTGGACTCCTATAGGACACTGCCGTGGGATCCAGGACTTTGGCTGGGTTCTTTGGATCTCCAGCACGAAGATGGAACTTCTACATTTGACTCTGTGGGGGGCCACTGTAGGTCAATCTTGTAAATTTCTGTATCTTGCACTGAATCTGATTCAGAGCACGTGCAGTCTTTTGAGAAGCTCTGCCCTAGCCCTGCAAACTCTTGTAAACACTAATATAGTATCTGATTCATTTCATTTAGCATTATGATCGCAAGGCGCATCAATTTTCTTACAAATGACTCACTTATCCTTCTTTATGGTAGAATAGTACTCTATTGTATATGAATACCAGATTTTCTTTATCTATTCACCTATTGATGGAAAAATAGCTTGCTTCCAAGATTTAGCCATTGTGAATCATGCTGCTATAAACAGGGATATGTATGTGTTATTATCAAATGATGTTTTAAACTCTTTGTTAATCCTGTTAGTTTTTGTGTTAATGTCCATAGCAAGTCTCAGGAAATGTTTATGATTAATCTGAGATTACACTAGTCATTAAGGCAGAATTTGATAAATAATGTAATGATAGGGGAGTTGGAGAACATGGCGGACAGACAACAGCAACTTCTGAACGCTCTCTAAAGGCTCGGCTCAGAGGCCAGGAATGATGCGGACTAAGGAGATATGAACCAGTAGAGATATGCTCTGCTGACTCAGGAACAAACTGGGCTGAGAGAATCCAACTTGGAATACAGTCCTGGCGCTAAAATAGGAACAGAAAAATCTCGGTGTGGAGGCTCGACTCCGCGCCATTAGAAACCGCGGTTTGGATTTCCCGCCGCCCGGCGGCCGGCTACCTCCACAGCGGCTCAGCAAGGAGAGACGCGACCGCTGAGCTCTGGGAACGGGAGTCTCCGAACGGAGTCCCCACGCCATCGGAAACCGCGGTTTAGATTTCCCGCCGCCAGGCGCCCGGCTACCTCCATAGCGGCTCAGTAAGGAGAGACACGCAGAGGCTTGGGAACGGGAATCTGCGAACGGAGTCGGAAACGCCACGGCCAGAGAGGAAGGCTGACTGGTGGTGAGGTGAGCGAGGAACTGATTCCCTACCGCAGTTTGACTCCAGCGGAGGTTTTTCTGGGCGTGGGCAGTCCTGTAAGAGCAGGGCGCGGTGGCAACTGCAGCCGCACGTTTCCCTCTCGGACGGGATTGGTGAAAGGTGCCTGGCCGGAGGGACGCTGCTCGCGGACTCCCTAGGCTGGCCTAACCCAGATCCCAGAGCCTGACGGTGGCCCGGAGGAGCGACCGACTCCCGCGTAGGCTGCCTCCTCCGCAACTCCCTGGGGCGCAGCGGTGAGCGGGAACAACTAGCCAGCGCAATTTGATCAAGCTGTGGCTGGCAGGCAGGGAAGCCGGGCCTCCTGTGTAAGATTACATTTTATAAGGAACAGAAAATATGGGGAAGGGAAGCAACAAAAAAGGCTCCTCGACCCCCAATCCTGAGAATCAGGCAATTGTGGACACTGCA